CGGGCATGTGCACCTGAATGTTTATAGCAGCAATGTCCACAATAGCCGAACTATGGAAATAACCTATATGTCCATCCACAGATGAATGGATAAAGAAGATGTGGTATATGTATACAATGGAATACTATGCAGCCATCAAAGAAATGAAATCTTGCCATTTGCGACAATGTGGATGAACTAGAGGGTATTATGCTTAGCGAAATAAGTCAATCGGAGAAAGACAACTATCATATGATCTCCCTGATATGAGGAAGTGGAGATGCAACGTGGGGGTTTGGGGGGTAGGAAAAGAATAAATGAAACAAGATGGGATTGGGAGGGAGACAAACCATAAGAGACTCTTAATCTCACAAAACAAACTGAGGGGGCTGGCGGGAGGGGTGTCGGGAGAGGGTGGTGGGGTTATGGACATTGAGGAGGGTATGCACTATGGTGAATGCTGTGAAGTGTATAAACCTGGCAATTCACAGACCTGTACCCCTGGGGCTAATAATACATTATATGTTTATTAAAAATTTTAAAAAATTTAAAAAAAAGAATTTGTCTCCTCATTTGCATTAGCCATATTTCAAGTGCTCAAGAGCCACAAGACTAGTGGATACTATAGTGGGTGAGGCAGTTAAAGGATTTCTGAGGTTTATTTAACCACCTTTCACATTTAAAAAATTCAGAATGACACCCGTATTTCAGGCTTTTGGCATTCTGTCCATATTTAACAATTTCTCAATTGGAAGATTTGGTCAGTTACCTTGAGATTGTGGAATGTAATCTGTCCTCGTCAGCATACTCAAACACATTTGAAATAAACTAGGTCATCCCTATTAATCCTCACCTATCCTGACTTCAGTGAAATTTTGCTAATCTGTGGACCAAATCCTTTATTTTGAAGAGAAGCGACATGGGTCTTGAAGACAGTTCTAGTATTGAATCCAGCTCTACCACTGACTGGCTGTGGTAAACTCTGGCTAAATTCAGAACCATTGTTATAGTTCTCTATAAACAACAACGTGAATAGGATTTATCTTATTTAATTATGGTAATGAATAAGTAAGTGGATGTTAAGTGCTTACCACAGTTCTGGCACAGAGTAATGGCTCAAAAAATACTAGAGGATTGGCAGGGAATATAAAGTGAAAGAGGATGCTTGCCTTCCCTTTGTCATCCATCAACTCCCACCAACCAGGTTATTAGTTCCCTGTTCTTTCTGGTCTAACATACCAAGAAAAACCTCCAACCTCTGTTTATTGGAAATTAACTTAGTTTATGTCCTCCTTTATCCTCCTTTCTCAGATGAGCCATGATTCACCCCAAATCTTACTGACTCCAACCCTCAAAAACATGAGCCCTCCTTTTGCTTCTCTGAATCTTACCTTGACAGGGACTGCAGCCTGTAAGTCTTCCAAACTTTTACCTAGGATCCCAGCCAGATTTTCATCCAGACACCAGGAACCATCTGCATTCTGGAGGGAGATCAGCTGCACAAGATGATTTTCTCCAAAGACTTTGGGGAAGAAAAAAGAGGACGAGAAATTATGAAGCTGAGCCCTTAGCATACCTGAGAAAGATGGACCTGACTTCAGAGACAGGCTATAGCAAGAGTGCAGTGTGAACCAGATCCTACCTGTTATAGTCCTTCCCCTGTGTCTTCTCTGTGACATCGTAGGCCACCTCAGTGACAGACTAACTCTAGGGGAGCGGCACTTAAAAATTTAGCAACAAGGATGGGGCGCCTGGGTGGCTCAGTGGGTTAAGCCGCTGCCTTCGGCTCAGGTCATGATCTCAGGGTCCTGGGATCGAGCCCCGCATCGGGCTCTCTGCTCAGCAGGGAGCCTGCTTCCTCCTCTCTCTCTGCCTGCCTCTCTGCCTGCTTGTGATCTCTCTCTGTCAAATAAATAAATAAAATCTTAAAAAAAAAAAAAAAATTTAGCAACAAGGAAATGATAATGCTGCTTAGTTTTATCCAGTCCTATTTAATGGGCCTGAAAACTTGACACATATTAAAAAAATTCCAGACCAATACATCTGGAATTTTAATTTTAAAAAATTTCAAAAGAAAGCAGATATAAAGAAGGCAATCAGCAATGTACCTCGAAGAGTAGTCTAGTGTCTAATCCTGTCGGTTTGACAATTACTTAGAGACCACATAGAAGGTGTTACACATCTGTGTCTCTATCACATACGATGACGTACTTAGAGCAAGTGAGAAATTAGCAGGCAAGAAAAAACATAACTAGAGAAACAATTCTATTCTAATTGGGGGAAAAAAATCTAAGGGTCTGAATTTCAACAGTCTTCATCTGAATCTCAGTTTGGCTAATGCTCAAAATCCAACAGTATGTAACCAATGAGAATTTCAGCCTTCTCTAGAAATTGGAGCCAATAATGCTCCATGCATAAGGAAGAACTCAAAGTACCTTGAAGGCCCTTTGTCGGCTCCCTACAAGAAGTAGTTGTTAATAAGTTCAAAAAAACCAGAAGCTTAACACTCCTGGATAATTTTTATCTCTACTTTGGTAACAGGATTCCTAAAGAGACGATGGTCAAAGCTAGAATATTCTAAGTGAGGAAGGTCTAGGGAACAATCACAAAGCGAGAAGCTACTCTGCGACTAACATTAAGAATTTTCTCATGACAACCCTGTGAGGTGAGTAATTGTGTAGCTGAGGAAGCTAAGGCTCTGGAAAGTAACTTAGTTTACCTAAAACACCACAGTAATTGAGAAGACAGAGATCTGACTCCATGTGAGACCTTGAAGCCCTCTCTTTTTTTTTTTAAGATTTTATTTATTTGAGAGCAAGAGAGAGAGTGAGAAACTGCACGAGCAAGAGGGAGGGGCAGAGGGAGAAGCAGGCTCCCCGCTTAGCAGAGAGCCCGATGTGGGACCCGATCCCAGGAGACTGGGATCATGACCTGAGGTGAAGGCAGAAAGTTAACCAACCGAGCCACCCAGGCGCCCCCGAAGCCCTCTCTTTGACTAGCAACCTAAAGAGAATGACTAAGTAGAGGGTAAGTGGCAAGTAAGACGCTTAAGTGATTAAACAACTGTATACCACAGACTCTGGCTACAAAAACTGAAGACTAGAAAGAAGTTGCCTTTAAGCCAATTTTAATAGAAAGGGTACTTCTTGGTGATAAAATGTCCTTTGACTCAATCCATCCTGTACACGAGAAGCCCAGCTGTTTGGAACACAAGGTAATGACCAAGGAACACCCTTTGGTGACAAAAAGTCATTAGCCAGCATCAGGAAGATCTCTTTTCAAACCCAACTTGTAAAAGGCTGATCCATGTGGCAGGTGACCCAGACAGGGCAGCAGCAGAGGTCTGCAGGGGGAGGGCCCCGGCCTGCAGGCCAACTGGATGAGCTGAGATGACAACATGGGTGCGTTTAACCAGAGCTTACCCCAGACTCCACTGGCTAGGATGTGGGGTCCTACACTGTAGACTAATCCAAGGCTGACCCTGGCCAACACAGAGACAGGACAAATCTCACCCTCTGCCTGACACTTTTCAAACAGATTACCTCCTAGCTAGAGAAAGCCAAAGGAAGTAGAACATGGAAGATAAGCTCTTCAGTACCGCAGATCCAAGAAGAGAACTGAGGCCCATCTCACCTGTACAGTGAGCTTCCAAGTTGGTACTCTGGGTGGCACAACAAGCCCCTTCCATCTGAGGAGAGGTCTCTTTGAGAGACATGCACATCTTCTTTAGTCTATGATCAAAAGCATGGGCTTTGTCTAGTCCTACACAGGTGACAGACAAACATGGGTGAGAAAAAGTCCCTGGAAAGATGCTTACCTAGAGCACACAGGTCCTTGTTAATCATGGGCCCACAAGGTTTGCAGCCATCCTGCTGATTTGACATACCCTTGTAATGATTACTCCGTGTGGCCGGAGATACACTACGGAGGCACATGAAACTTGGAGGAGCTGAAAAACACCAATACAGACATAAAGACTGAGACCCTACTGCTCTCTGCTACGGGAAAAGGGCCCTGAAAATGTAGGACACCTGCCCTCCTATCCATGTCTGCCTCAGCCACCATCTTTTCTGGGCATTTTTTTCTCTTCTTCAAACACCTATCTCAATTAACTACCCCTTTCTCCTCCCCAAAAATGTCAGCCCTCTCTGCTGACACTCTCCTACTGGTGTTACAGCATCTTCAAATCTCTCTGATTCTGAAATTTTAAAGAGATACATTAAATACCAAAAATCCGCTCCAACTCTACAGCTTCTATACTTACCACTTTCTATTCCCCTTTTCAGCTCAATGTTTACCAGAAGTTTCTATACATTCATTTCCCACCTCTCTTTCTCTTTAACATTCTGTAATATGAATTCTTTCCTGATCTAAGCCAATGAAATCGCTCTTGTTCACATTACCAAGAACTTCTTGAATAGCAAACCCATCATCCCCTTTCAATCTCTGCAGGAGTTGATACTTTGATAACTTCCTTTGTTAAATCATAGTTTCCTTTATTCTGAATATGCACTCATTTCTTTTCTTCCTACTTCATTCCTTTTTGTTATGGTTTGGGGAACGCTCTGCTACCCATCCCTAGATGCTGGGTTTTCTTCAGTGTTTCAGTCTCATCCCCCTTCCATCTCACTCTATACCTGCCCCATGAATCTCATCTATTCTCCTGATTTTATGACTCAGATGTTAAATATTGCCAGATGTGTATCCTTATTCCTAAGCTCTCCTCTGAACACCAAACCCATCTATTGGTTTTTCTACTGGACATCTTCATGTGCACATTCCATAGGGATCTCAAGTTCAAAATGCTCAAAAATAATTCAACATGCTACCTTCTAAGCTTGCTCCTGTACTTTTGTTACTCTAGTTTAAATAAATGATACCATTATACACAGTTTTCTCAACGAAACTCTGGGCTCGCCTTGAAGCCTGCCTCTACAACTCACATAACACTTTTCCCTCCGGCCACAGAATCCCGCCTAGTGCATTTTTCCACCTGATGCTAACCTTCAAGCCCCTCCTATCTATACTCAAGCATGCTTGGCTTTGACCTGGGACACCGATTCCCTAACACTCCTAGATCACTACCATCAGCCATCTGTGTAATCACTAGCCATCGAATTATCAATAAGATCAGCTTCAGATTTAGACAGTTTGAGTACTCGATGTTTATGTGCACTTTCTGTTTCAACTGTCCTTTTTTTTTTCCCCCACTCTGGGATTATTTAAAATATCCTTGCCTATGGCATATTTTCTAGTTTTCTAGAAAGGCACCGCACCAGCAAGAAATCCTAGATTGGAGGGACAGGGGAAAAATTCAGCATCCCAGGCTTTCACTTCAAATGATGTGCTTAGATACTCAGGGCCCCTTAATTGACATGTGTTCCAAGGAGGTAAAACTCACCACGTGGACAGTGTTGTGGCATCACTGAAGCTGCACCCAAAAGAACTGGCCTTGGAATGTCCCTACAGACCAGAGGCCCCTGAACTGGCTTGTTGGAATTCTCACTGACGGCAACGAAGGCTGTCTGGGAGCTAATGACTCCACAATCAATGCTGATTTTCAGCACATCTTTTTTATCATTAGCTGGAGTATCCCTGAAGCCCATGTCCTTGGCGTGGAGAAAGGACTTGGCAGCAAGGCGATGAATGGTGAAGCTGAAAGAGAAACACTCCCGTGATTTAGGGAAGCGCACTCATGTGCCAGTTACTCAGGGCCCTCAGAAGTTAGCATTGGCAGAGAGAGGAAAAAGGCAGATAAAGGGAGAGATAAGACTTGAATGGGTTAGAAAGGTGAAGTGATTGTGATTGTAGGGACACAACTGAGCCCCCCAAATTAAAAAAAAGAAACCAACCTTCTCAATGATGGCAGAGATGAAAGAAAGAAAGAAAAAAGAAAGGAGGGAGGGGGAAGGAAAGAAGGGAGGGAGAGAGAGAGAAAGTAGCAAAGCAAAACTGAATTCTCACTTGTCATCAGGCTTGGGCTGTAGAGAAAATGTCACCCTATTGTCGAAACTCTTGCCCTGGAATGTATACTTGAGGTAGACTTCTCCTGTTGCCTCTGCTGGCTACAAAGTAGAGACAAGTAGACATGATGGAAGAGAGAGGTCACCAAGAGAAAGGTCACAACTGAGGCCACTCCCCAACGCAATGCATTAAAATGTCTGACTAGGAACCAGGCAGCTCAGAGAATCAGAAACCTGAAATTATGAAGCAGGGGGTAGGCTGGCTCCACCTGGCAAGTACTGTGATCTCTTGATGAGACTCACCAGTTTTAAGAAAATTGTCCAGAGCAGAGTTTAGGGAAGTAGCTACTCTGAGAAGAACACACAAGAATAGGAACTCACAGGCATAGTCCCGCTCAAAAGGGCATAGACAATTAACCTCTGGCCCTTATAGAGGACAGTCTGTTCTGGCGAAAGCATTTTAGCAGACAATTTAGCAGGCAATTCCCAGGTCACAGAAACATCCTCTACTGCAGGCTGTAGAGCGTATTTCAGGGCCCTAAGAGCCTGGTGGAGGAAAGAGAACAGAATAAGCACAAAAGAATATTAGCAATAATGACCACTGTTAGCTGAATATTTATTATGCACCAGATTCTAGGCAACACGGTATATGCTAAGTCTATTCCTGAATACTCTACTAGGACGTGGTAATGAAGGATAAGGCAAAGGATAATACCACCCAAGAAAGAGGAACTTACAAGTATACGCAGAGCTAGAAGATGCCTTCCCTTGTGTATACGAATCAAATGGAGAATCAATGTACCACCTCTACCCATCTACCAGACATACTACAATTGCTCCTCCTCATTTTCTTTGTCTCGTGTGCATGGAGGATAGGATATGGCCAACCAAAAGAGTTCCTCAAGCGCACATCTAGAATCTCAAACATGATGGTCAAAATTCTGTTTCTCTATTTCTGGTCTTAAACACAAAGCTCTGACCTCTTCCAGCATCTTGTCTCTGAGCTTCCAACTAGTCAACCCAGATGCCATTCCTCCAGAAACTACCGTGTGCCCTTTTTACACAAAGCCCAAAGTAGCCCCACTATGTATTATAGCCCAAGGCACTATGGATATAAAAATATGATTCCTGGTGCCAAACTGTTGCTTCTGCCCTTATGACAATGTCTCCCGGCCCCTGCTCCACACTCCCTCTGAATCACCCGCTATGACACAAGGCCTGTCCCTCACCTTGGACTGCATCCTGTCCTTGCCTGTGATAAATTCTGAAGTGCCACCTGCCACTCGGGCAATGCCTTTTATTAGGCTGGTAGAGGCTCCTTCTCCAATTCCAAAGGAGAAACATCTGCAATTATACAAGGGTAAGAGCTTAGAGACCGGCACTAAGGAGTGAAATTATAAAATTAATACATAGAGTCAGGAATACCTAAAGAGATAGTCTACTTCCTTGACCAAAAGCATAAGGGCTACAAAATGTTGAGCATATTCTATATTTCAGGAGACCAAAGAGTTCTAACTGGAGAGTTCTCTCCCTGCCATAATCCACGTGCACCAAGCTTTTTAATCACAATTTGGCTTCCCAAATAAATACAACTGTCTATAAACAGAATGTGTTGGTAATAGCAATAGAAACATTTTTAGAAGGCATAACAAGATTTCTCATTGTAAATTAATACACTGGAATTTTTGGGTTATGTATCAGTCTCTTTTGAATTAGGTTAGTATGAGTCATCATCCCCAACTCTAATGACATCATCATCAGGATTAATATTCTAAACTTATAGGGCTACGAACTGAACTTCTAATTATCGTAACCTACCTTTGAACGTGCTCCCTAGAGACCACAGCCTGCCAGCATCTTGATATTATCACCTTCAAATTTCCCACCCAATCTTGCAACTGAAGCGTATATTCCTTATGGCTTACAAAGGGCATTTATGTGTATGTTAAGTGTCTTATGTATAAAACTAAAGCCAAGCAATATTTATTGATGGCTAACAATATGCTTAGAACTTACGTGCTTCTTGTGGGTGATAAGAAGAAGAAATATAACAATGGCAAAAATTTACATATCACATATTTTGTGTCAAGCACAGTTCCCAATGCTTTACTTAGGCATACCCTTTGAACCCTCAGAGTAAACTCATAAGGTAAGTACTGCTATTATGCCCATTTTCAAATGGGGAAACTAAGACTTAGGGAGTTTAGCTGATTTATCCAAACAGCCAGCAAGCAGCACAAGTGGAACTTAAATATGTGATTTTTGACTTGAAGTAGAATGCCATAGGACATTCTGCTCACAGTAATGCCAAAGCTGTTTCAGCCAGTAGAGAACTGGAAAAGCTGTATACAATATTCTTAATAATCTTTTTGAAAACATCAAATGGTTACCAAGACAACAGGAATCTATGGGCCATGACATGGCATAGGAGGGAGGTAAGAGAAATGAGCCTGGCATCTGGTATCCCATGATCCCTTAAAGCTAGTGCCAAGTACAAAATGGATGGCTCAAGGCCTGAAAAGCCAAGCGGTTTCAGACTTGGACTTTCCAAAGAGAAGGTGCCCTTATAGACACCCCAGGTGTTTTAATAATAAACCCTGTAGAACTACAGCCCAGACGCAGAGGTGAATCTGAAATGAACCAGCCATCAAATGACTGAAGCTTCCTTGACTCTAACTGGATCCTGATTATCTGCTTCTAGTCTAGCAACCCATCAGAAGCAAAGAATACATCCTTGCAGAGGGAAGATAACATCACCTAGAGGCTCAAAGAATTTCTACAACTTTTCACATAAAATATCTGACAACTAATGAAGGAATAGAAAAATCCCCAAATATTGGGAAATTATACACTGGACCGCTGAACAACATAGGCTTTAGAAAATTGTAATAGTTAATTAGAAAAATCTTCTTAAACGGATGTCAATGGAAAGTGACAGATCCAGACTGAAGATTCAGATGTAGATACGCTTAAATCTAGGGATATAAATTCATATATTAGAAAAGAAAAAGCAGGGCTCTCTGTTCAGTAGGGAGCCTGCTTCCCCCCTCTGTCAGCCTCTCTGCCTATTTGTGATCTCTCTCTCTCTCTGTCAAATAAATAAAATCTTTTAAAAAAAAAGAAAAGAAAAGAAAAGAAAAGAAAAAGCAGTCTCGAAATCAACTACCTAAGCGTCCATCTCCAGGTGTTAGAAAGAGAACAGCCAATAAACCCAAAGAATTGAAAGGGAAATGAATATATATATGAGGAAATGAATATATGAAATAATAAATATGGGGGCAAGCATTATGATATAAAAAGTTACCATATAATAGACAGGATTAAAAAACCTCAAAAGCGCTGATGCTCTGGAAGGATTATTAAAATTGACAAGAATTTAGGACAAGGAAAAAAAACAGAGGACACAAATAACCAACATCAGGAATGAAAAGGTAATATATTACAGATTCTACAAAATGTCACAACAGCATAAGGCAATACAGCATAAGAAAATTTTATGCAAAGAAATTTGAAAATTTGAAATTTTAGATAAAATTTGAAAATCTGAATTTGAAAATTTAGATAAAATATACAAATGCCCAAAAAAGACAAAGAAGTTTGAATAGTTCATTTCCATGAAAGAAATTTTAAAACTTTCCCACAAAAACGTCTCCCATCAACTTCTTTACTAAAAGGTAAACTAGAACATTTAATAAAGAAAATCTTTACGATAACAGAAAAATAGACAACTCTTTTCAACTCATTTTATTATGACAGCATAACACTGATTTCAAAACCTGACAAGAATGTTATAAGAAAAGAAAGTTCAAGTTGATATTTCTCACAAAAATAGATTTAAAAATCCTAAGCAGGTATTTGCCAACTGAATCCAAAAATACATAGAAAAGGTTAACAGATCACAACAAATTTGGGTTTATTTCAGAAAGGCAAGGTTGGTCTAATACTTGTCATTATAATTCACCCATTAAAAGAAAAAAGGATAAAATCATACACTTATCTCAATAGATACATAAAATGCATTTGATGTAAATCCACAGTCACTCATTATTTTTGTTAAAAAAAAAAAAAAGGAGCAAAGAACTCTCAAAACAGAAATGAAATTTCCTTAACCTGGTAACTCTGAAAACAGAAGTAAGATTTCCTTAATCTGATAAAGGATATCTATAAAAAACAAAAACCTCATAGCCAACAATCACACTTATTTTTTTAAAGATTTTATTTATTTATTTTGAGAAAGAGAGAGAAAGTGAGAAAGAGAGCACAAGCAGGGAGAGCAGCAGGCAGAGGGAGGGGGGAAGCAGGCTCCTCACTGAGCACTCAGCCTGATGCAGGGCTTGATCCTAGGACCCTGGGATCATGACTGGAGCCTAAGGCAGCCACTTAGCCAACCGAATGAGTCACCCAGGTGCCCCAAAATCAGTTACTTATGCAGTGTCGAACATGTCCCCTCTGAAGGCCAAAATAAGATAAGAATGCCAGGTATGACCACATCTATTCAGGTTTGTGCTAAAACTCTTTTCTGGGGCAATAGAGAAGGGAAGAAAAATAAAGGTATAAGGACTGGAAAGGAAAAAAATAAGGCTGGTGTTATTTGCAAACATGATTATCCATAGAAAATCTACAAGTATCTACAAATATACTATTAGAATTAATATTTAAATAAGAGAAAGTCACTGAATAAAAAAGTCAATGTAAATTTTAAAAGCCATTAGAATAAATTTCTACATAGAAATAAATGCCCATCAAATAAAATGTTTCAAAAATACTATTTAAAATAGGAGAAAAATCACACAGGGGAGAAATCTATTTAAAAAAGGCAGGAAAACATCTACACAGAGAATTAGAAAACATTATAGAGAGATTTGGTGTGTATTGTTGGATTAAGGAAATGAGTATATTTACTAATTTTACGGGAAATCAGATTTTTCATCATGGAGGAAAGAAAATACGAATATGGAATAGAAGAAGAGAATTTTATGTCATTACCTTGGATTAACATTCACTGCTTTAGTCTGCCAAAAATGCCTATAATCAATAAGAGCTCAGTAATGAAGAGTTACACTTAATACTCAAATATTGACTTCTATTTATCATTTTCACTAAAATAAGCTTCTTGTAGAAATAGCTGGCTACAGGAATGGGAAAGTATAGGTGAGTCTGAAATTCTTTTTTTAAGAATGAAAGGAAATCTTCAAAAACCAAAGATACACATGAAAAAAGACATAGAAGAAAGTGAAAAGCAGCTTCCACTGGCCAAATCTGGAATTTTGAGAATCTAAATGAAAAATGAAAGTAACAAATCTTAAAAAAATTGAAAAATAGTGGAAGAATCCAAAAGTATATATTGATAGAACAAAAGAAAGGGAGAGAGGGAGGGGAAAGAGAAACTCTTCCTTATGACAGGATGCCAACTAATCTGGAAAAGTTGACAGAATTTAAAAATCACTCTTTGTAACCACTGACAGAACATCTGGACAATAATCATCAATGAATGCTGGATCTACTAATATTTGTTAAGAACAGAATGTTGACAAAATAGCAAAGTTACCTGTCAGATACCACGTCTAGCGATGTGGTCAAACTTATCACCAGACCCAACATTACTTTTGGAATATTTCTTCAAGAAATATTTAATATTACCCTAAACGTGAATTTAAATAGTCAACTAAACATAAATTGAGATTCTACAAAAATAAGTAACTAGTACTCTTTCAAAATACCAGTGTCATGAAAGATAATGAAAAGTTGAGGATCTCTCCTAGAGTAAAGAAGATTAAAAAAAATAACAATGAAAATACTTGGTCTTGGATTTCCTCTTGGAACAAAAGCAAAGAAAAAAATCTATAAAGGACATTATTAGAAAATTTCTTGGGGCACCTAGGTGGCTCAGTCCATTAAACATCCAGCTATTGATTTTGGCTCAGGTCATGACCTCAGGGTCTTGAGATTGAGCCCAGGTCAGATTCCACGCTCAACAGGGAGTCTGGTTTTCTCCTTCTCCCTCTCCTTCTGCCCCTCCCCCCACTCATACACTCTCTCGCGCACTCTCTCTCTCTAAAGTAAAGAAGTAAATCTTTTTGAAAAATTTCTTATAAAAAAGAAAACCTGGCAAATATGGCCTATATTTAGATAACAGTATCATCTCAACATTAAATACCCTCCATTTAGTAGTTTTATTGTGGTTATTTATCAGGATGCCCTTATTCTTTGAAGGTGAGTGCATTATTATTTGCATATGAAGAATTACAGTATCACTGGCTTGCTCTCAAATGTTTCAGAGAAAAAAAAAGGTGAAGCAAATGGGGGAAAATGTTGACATCTGGTGAAAGAGTATATTGTTCTATTCTTGCAACTTCGCCATAGTTTAAATTTCTTAAATAAAATATTGGAAGCACATATCTAGAAGAATCAAGAAAGACCTAAATAAATAGATGGGCATACCATATATAGATTAAAATACTCAATTTGGTAAATACTAAATTCTTCCAAAACTGACCTATAAAATCAATGCAATTCTCTTTTTTGAAATAACATCTATGTTCAACTTGGGGCTCAAACTCATAACCCCAAGATCAAGAGCCACATGTTCTACTGACTGAGACAGCCAGGCACCCCTAAGGTCAAGACAGTTCTAATTAATATCTCAACAGTCTACTTTTTAGGTAAAAATTGACAAGCTAATTCTAAAATACAAATATCAAGAGTCATGAATAGCTGAGATAATCTCGAAGAAAAAAAACAAAGTTGAGTACTTACTCTACTGGGAATCAAAATTTATCAAAAAGCTACAAAAATTTACCTGGTATTGTTCTAGCACATGTCTAGATAAATAGACTAATGGAATGGAACAAACGATCCAGAAATAATCAATACATGTGTAGATGCTTATTTGTGATGAAATGACACTGTATATCGGGGAGCAAAGAACAAACTTATCAATAAATGGTACAAGGTCAATTTGATATCCACATAAAGAGATAATGAAAACTGGCCCCTACCTTCCACAATGCATAAAAATAAAATCCAGGCAAATTACAGATCTAACTATAAGAGAAAAAAATAGTAAAACTTCTAGAAAATAATGAACAAAAGTAGCTTCATTACCTTGGGTAGGGAAAGACTTTTTAACAAGACATAGAAAACATTAACTGTAAAGGTAAAGACTAAAAAATTAAATTATACTAAAGTGAAGAACAACTATTAATCAATAAATATCATCCTGAGAGTGAAAAGGATAGCTATAGAATAGGAAAAAATATAATTCCAGAACATACTAATGAAGCTCTTATGTCTTGACCACAGACAGAGCTAGAGATCAGTAAAAGAAGAAAGTCGAACAGTAAAAAAATAGGAGAGACTTGAAGGTACATCAAAAAACAGGACATCCAACTGGTTAATAAATATGAAAAGACACTCAACTTCATTAGTTACCAGGAAAACGCAAATTAAAACCATAATGAGATACCACTTTACACCTATAAAATTAGTTAAGATTTACAAAGACAATGCCAAATTTTGGATAGGAAGCTGGGCAACTAGAACCCTCATACAATGCTGGTATGAATTAAATTAGTACAATAACTTGGAAAACTATTTGGCATTCCCAATAAATTCTACAACTATGTCAACTCAAAAAAATTTTGTGTGTATATGTATATACATACACATATATATGAAATCAGTATGTGTACATGCATATGTGTGTATGTGCAAAAAAATACATATATAAGAATGCTAGGATAGTGACAGAAGAATTATTTTTAGCAGCTAAACCAAAGTCTATCTGCAGTAGAATCAATAAATAAATTGTGGCATAATCACCTTATGGAAAACTATACACCAATAAATATTAACCACAGCTTAATGCAAAATATGTATGAATATCAACATACTGCTGAGGGAAAGAAGATACATAGAAACAAAAACATATTGCATAACCCATTTATTTGTAATTAAAAACAAGCAAATTAATTTAAAAAAAAAGCAAAAATAATCCACAGTGTTATAAGTTAGAAAAGCGATTTCCTTTGGAGAGAATGAAGTTAGTAGTGATCACAGTGATACAGTGATCAGCTGTATACTTATGATTTGTGAACCTTTGTGTATGTTTTACTTTGATAAAAATATTTATAGTTTAAATAAACTGTCTTGCTATTCAATTTTTGTTTCCATTGTGGTTTAGAAAGACTAAAGAACAATGACTTTGTGGTGTTACTGATGTTATTTGGAAAATTACTTTTATCTTTAAGTAGAGAGGGGGAAATGATATAGAAAAAACTTGTCAGCTGGTAAAACTAAAATTCTTGAATTAGTCTATCTTCTAAAAGGAATGTCAACACTGGTATCACGTAGGTTAGACTAAGCTGGGTCAGTCACCCAGAAATCACATTCTCTTCCTACCTGTGCCTCAGCCTGTTCCTCTTGACTTCATTAATTATATTAAACGTGTCAGCAACTTCTCCATCTGTGAAGACAAAAAGCTGTCGAAGGAAAGAAGACATTCATGAAATCTCTGTGAAGATCATTTTTAAGATACCAGAATTCGCCCTTGGAAAAAATCGACCATTTCGTTGCAGAGACTGATGCCTCCTCAGACTGGCACAAGGTCCCTAATTTTCCATGGTCCCTTGCACCACGTCCTCACAAGGTTTGTTGGGCACCTGGGGTTTTCCTCACCTCCCCCTTCTCGTCTCATCTAAGGCTTCTGTGGCACTCTACAAAAGGACTTCCATCACCGAAAGCCCACAGCACGGAGCCAAGGAAGAGGAATTCTATTACATGCCTCTTGTCTTCTTCTCTTTACTGTATGACAGAAGACTCCAAATTACATATCGTATTTTACCAATGCTACAACAAAGTTCAGGGGTATGGATTCTTGAACAGAGATTTTTCATTCCCTTTGTCTCTTCCAGTTCCTACCTGAAGGGGGTGGCCCTCAACGGGAGGTTGCCCGTAAATGATTTGGAGTGGTGTCAAGATTTCTGTGCCCCCCAGGTTAGCCTGCATAAGTTTAACTCTCCTCAGTGCCTCCTCCATGGTCTGCTGAGTGTATTTCACACTATTCCTGAGAAAAAAACAAACATGCCCAGTGACATCACGCTCTTCAGTATCATGCAGCACCGAGTCCCGGAACTGAGATGTCCCCACCGTAAACACCCTCACCTGAAATACCCAAAGCCAAAGTCATCTGTGCAGTAACCCCCTTCAACAATCTAGTCCTTCCTTTAAAGTATATTATTGGACCCTCAATGAGCTTTCTAGAAACTTACGGAAAGAATGCCTCATAGGAACTTCCGAATCCATAGATATTGAAGTAACAGCCCATAGGCAAACTCTTCAGCAGCAAAATCAGTGTTTCCTGAAGGAAGAGAGTACAGGGAGACAGCGCGAGAGAATCTTCTCAGACACATGGACGCTGCCAGTCGAACTCTTGACGGGGTGGACCTTCACCCACTTCATGAGTCCAAGCCCCTATATTCCAAGGCTAGCCTCAGAGTGATCATGTTAGACAGAGCTCAGATGGGGAACACACCCAAAGTTCCAGATGGACCCTAATTTAACCCAAGATTCATCCCCATTTGTGCATATTACCAGAAAGAGAAAGGAACTAGTTTTACCTTGGCTGCCTCTATGCGCAGCTGAGAGTTATCCTGTTTACTTATGGGGGACTGCATACTTCCTGAGCGGTCCATGAGGAAGATGAATTCTCCAGAGATAACTGGTGACTGAGTTTCTGGGATATTTGGGTAGAAACACACCATCGCAGACGGATCTTTCATGAAACCATCTACAAAGATATTGTAGCATGAAAAGGAATTCAAGAATAGTAAAGACCTCAAGAATCGATTGTAGTGTGTTATTTATATAGGGAGCTGAGAAAACCCAAACCTAAAACACTGTTTGATCTTCATTCTGTGTCTGTTGGCAAAAGGTCTGAGGTGAGTTATAAACACAAAAGATACAGAAGCAGAAAAGACATGAAAGAGAAAAAAGAAGGTAGAGGTTACCAAGCATAAGCAATAATTAAAATATAGAATTGGATGCTGGTTTCCTAGCAGCTAGGTAGATAAGTGAAATCATGAAGTTAAAATGTTCCAGCATTTGCCAGAAGAATCGAGCTGATTTATTTGCAGAGACACCTTCCTTTCAAATCAAATCAATGGGAAATTTATCATGTGGGTCCTTGTTTAAGTCTATAATTACACTTTTGAAAACATGATGCTCATAAGCAGTTCTTATATTGACAGTTTGCAAGAGCTGAGAGTATAGCGTCATACACACCAAGGAAGGTCTATCTGCTTTGGGTATGAAACATCTCCAGAACTAATAGCATCACCCAAACAATGCTATGGAGGAAACCTATGGGAGCCTGGCCTTTGTTACCAAGTTGTCAAAGCTCTGATTTTATTTTGAGGAACAAGTGAAAACTGATGCAGGAACTGAAATGTTAGTATTGAGATAGAAATGAAAATGAGAAGGGCTGAGTTATATCCACTTGTTTTACAGTTCAGAAAATATATAAGTTGACAAAGAATGGAATTCCAATATCCTATCATTATAAAGTGATTCCGGGATGATGCATTTAAATTCTTAGTAGCCTTGGGATTCAGTACACCTACAGGACGTGGCTCAGTTTCATCTCTTAACCCTGGGATACCCCAATGACCAAAGTGGCTTCCAAATAAAATGGGTACAGCTCAGCAAACACGTACTTAAACGCTGGTTCAAGGATAACTTCTAAAAAATCCAGATCTCTAGATGCATGGTGGAAGAGAAGATTTTTTTTAATAGGCAAGGTAAGTTTCTTTCCATTTTGAGAGACTGCTGATTGTAGTGGGATTGGCGCTAGACTGGTAAATCACAAAGGTTTTATCCATTACAATGAAATATATACCTAATGTGTTTAGAACAATACCAGATACACAGTATGGACCACCTAGGTATTTCTACTATAATTCCTTTGGCATGGCTCAAGTTATTTCCACCTACATGAGTTTCCGCTTCCTCATTTTTAAGTAAGATATTTCCAGCCCTACCTCCTCAACTTGCTAGCCTCAGTTTCTCCATCTGAAGAATCCAAGCAGTAACACCTGAGTCAAGATTATTTTAAGGGTTAAGTGATATCATACATTTAAGGAACTCAACATAGGGTTTAACTCTGGTTAAACTCTTCATAATAATTTTAGAAAGTTTTTTATACATTTTTTGTTAAATTATATAGTTTTTTGAAAATCATGTTTTTAATATGGTTAAGTACATTTTGAGTTTAAAAAATATAAATTTTGTATTTTCATCATGTAGCGGTATGCTTCATTTGGCAGAACTCTCGATGGTTTTAGTGAGCCAAGATGCCAGCTGTCGTTTGCTTCTTTATATGGATGGAAACAACAAGTTATCTTGACCAGACAGATGATCTAGAAGGCCAGACCTGAGTGGCCCTGCTAGGAGGGATTCACAAGATCATAAAGGCTGCTCCTAATGTCCCCCTCTGGCCTGCAGAGCCCACCATAGGAAAAGATGGGGAATTCCACATAGGGGCCAAGGGAACTGCTTGGAAGGAAAGGAACTAAGATCTCAATTCATATCTTTTAAGATTCAGCAATATTAAACTTTCTGTGGTACATTAAAATAATGCTGACTGAAGACCAGACTCCCAGTACTGTGGGAATATTTCCTGGACACCCAAGGGGGAACCCACCAAAGGGAAAGGACAGAACCAATACAAAAGGAATCAACTAACGTACAGAGCGAGCGTGGAGCCTCATGGAAGAGGAGCTAGAGCAGACCTGGTTGAAGCTGGGAGCCCCTCTAAGGGCTTTAGCATGGACAGTTTGCCTGGAGGAAAAGTGGTTGAACAAGTGAGGACAAACTAAGGAGTTCTCAGCAGCCCTAGCCAAATGGAGGACCAACTACAGGAAACTATCTTCACAGTGGTTGTAGTTACAGAAGAAAGAACCTAACCTAAGCTATAGCACTTTGACTATGACTGTTCCTAAACATCCTTCCATTCAACCAAGGTGGAAAATGCTTCAGAAGTGGCAGTATCTTTCTAGTCAGGCTTCACGGTCCCTGCAATTCAGGGGCATGGCTTCCCGGGAAGGCCCCAAGAGAGCAACAGACTAACATGCATGATACCAGTTATAATCATAAGGAAAAGTACACATATAGACAGGAAAATTTAGAAAACACAAGAAATTAAGAAACTAAATTTGTTAACAGACTAAAACTTAGTCTTAGGAATTAAGATACCAGGGCAAGATGAAAACTGTCTGGAGATGAACGATGGGGTATTTGGAAATCTTCGATAGTTTGAAAAGGGAAAATGCCACATCATTATTTTTATTTCGTTTTTTTCCTACAAATGAATATTTACTTTTTTACTGAAGTATAATTAACATAGTGTCATGTTAATTTCTGGTATACAACATAATGATTTAACAACTCTATACATTACTCAGCACTTACTGCAATAAGTATAGTCCCCATCTACCACCAAACAACATTATTACAATCTTACTGATTCTATTCCCTGTGCTCTCCTCTTCATCTCTGTGACTTACTTATTTTGCAACTGGAAGTGTATACCTCTTAGTAAAATAGATAATAGATAATGGGACAGGATAGAATAGAAATCAATAAAAGGGATTAAGAGATACAAACTTCCAGTTGTTTTTATTTTATTTTAATTTGCACTTGTAGAGACTGATCATTGTCATTTATGTTTGTAAACTAGTTGTATTTCCTCTTGTGAATTATGTGTCCATGTCCTTGATCTAGTTATCTACTGATCATCTTAATCTGCCTAGGAGACACAACCACGTAGATGGATACTCATTGTATCTGACCATTTTTGCACACTATAATGTAAGCTATTTGAATGTTTTACCCACTACTGGATAGGAGGAAAGAAAAGTGAGGGTAATTTGAGGCTAATTCTAAGACAGGAGTTCCCCTTTAGGTCATCATACAAAGGAAGGAAGAGAATACCTGAGTTGTCTCTAGGTTGGCCCATCTCCACAGCTACAGTGGGGGTATGCACCTCACTGTAGTAAATCAGGAGTTCCACATCTCGATCGAATTTGTGTCCATCAGCCAAGGAAACCTGAGTTGAGAACAAGGAAAAGATCCATGTTAGAACTATCACTGCTTGCTGTGTGCGGCTGAGGTCAGGGCTGAGAGCTACTTCCTCCACGAGGGAGTGTGGTCAGGAGCAGGGACAAGAATGGGGAGAAGGCACTGGAGAAGAAATGGGGATTAAAAAGGAAGAAAGTGGGAGTCCCTCTAGTTAATAAGGAAAGTAAGGACCATTCTGGAACAAGATCGGAACCCAAAGAACAGGGGTGCTGCCAATAACAGCGCTTTCTTATGAATTACCTGGGCAGAAGTCTTATCTTCTCCAAGGTACTTGGTAGGACTGAAGGGGCAGTTGGACTGGACCCTCTCAATGCCATGCTGGGAACTGATGGTGGCAACCATGCTGAGTGTATACGGCAAGTCCTCCAAAGGAACTACAGGAGTCTTCATATCAAGGCAACTGTCCTCAAATGATCCTACAAAAAGTGACCTTAGTTCTGTTTCTCCTTCCCACACTTCTTAGCACCCCTACAACCTTGAGGGGACTTCCAAATAATACCACCCACTGCCAGGATTTGAAAAGAGACTCACCAGAGCCACGGTATCGAGGATTCAAGACAGCTGGGAGCACGTAGCGCAGGGCTCCATCTGCTTCCAAGGGGAGCTCCTGCACATACTTCAGGGTGAGCGCTACACTCGACCCTGGGTTCAGGTTCCCCACACTGCAACAGAAGACGTCCTTGGAGTACTTGTCCTCCTCCAGTAGGAAAGCTTGCCGGCGGTTGCTGATGGCACTCTCATAGATGCTGTGGGCCTAAGAACAGAGAAATAGAGGCGATGGAGAAGGCCTGCGAAGCTCACAGCTGTACTTTAAATGCCTCTGATTGATTCCCACCACTCACTCCCCAAGGTGATTTTAGGAAAACAGCAGCCAGAGGGGAGTAGAAGAAAGCATTCCATATCAGCACTTTTTGTGAAGGTGCATTCGTAGAGATTCTAAGAGTATGCATTAAGGAAATAAGAAGGGAGGAGATAATCTACTTATCCCTAGTACCTTTGCCTTCTCCTTTAATTCTGCTTTAATTTTCTCCCCATCCATCTCGGCCTCAAAGCTGTAGACAGCTGAGTCATCATCCATGGGGAACACAAAGAAGGTCTCCAAAGGAACTTCCTCCTCATTCTTATAGTTCAAGGTAGCAGACACACCAGCCACAAACTCACGAATGGACAAGGTAACAGAGATGCTCTTCAGGGGTACTGGAGATAGACCAGAGTTCAAGAGGTGAACAAACTTTAGTAGAAGGCCTCCTGTCTGCCAGGCATGGAGCCAGATGCCAAAGATATAGTGGCAAGTAAGGGTCATGAATCAGGCTTACCTGGTTCCTCTCTGCGGGTTAATAGGCCACCCTGGAGCACCATGGTGACGCAGGACTACTGTGAAAAAGATAGATCATGAATACAGTAATATGTTGGGGGTATCTATTCAAATACCAGACTTTACGTGCTACTCTCTGGCATAAGAATACATTCAGAGGACTAATGATGGAGCTGGAAGGAGAAAGAAGCTATAAAGAAGGGGACAAAGAAGCCAATGGGAGGGCTCCTTCTAAATGCCAGACCCAGATGGGGAAGCTGTAAGAGTCATAAAGTCCCTACTACACAGGAAGTCTCTGAAACACCCTGAGGCTGGTCAAATACCAGTTCCACTTTTCCCCAAGTATATGTAATATACCATTCCTTAGGTATATGGGTATAAGGAACTTAACCCCTGTGAAACTCAGTGTTCTCCTTCTAAAATGAAAACCATATACCTATTTCTCATATATGCATATGTAAATTTATATATGGGAAATCCCTAGAAGAGTGCCTGGTCTATGGGAAGCATTTAATCAATGATAATAGACTAGTGTTGCTCCTGTTATAATTATTACAGTTGTTAAACAGACCTTGGCTGTTAACTTTGCATCATGCTACCCAGAGACCTGCTTCATAAGGAACTGCTTGATCCAAAATGGTCCCCTGCAACTTAGATCACTTAGCTTGTGACTTTTTTGGGGGGGCTCACAACTGAAACCACTGTTTGTTTCCTCTGTCCAAGGTATTCTGATATACATATATAAATATCATGTATGCAACACATCCTCTGTTTTAAATCATGCTGTCCTAACCGTATCTTCCGAATTTTATTATAATCTTAGACCACCACTTCATGTGATATGGTAAAAAGGAGATAAATTTACATACCTATATTATGATTTACACTATGATTCTTTAACCCGGAGAATAAGCAGGTAGGTCTTGCACTAATCATTGGCCCTAGTAGCCCTAGAAGCTGCCCTCCAACCACTCTGAACAGAATCACTTGTGACGTTGCCTCTCCCTGCTCTGTCAAGGGTGACACAACCTGCAATTTCCAGTACCAGTTAGGGGACTTTTCACTGAAAATACAACTTAAGGAACTAAAATAGAATTGCCCACGGGGCGCCTGGGTGGCTCAGTGGGTTAAAGCCGCTGCCTTCGGCTCAGGTCATGATCTCGGAGTCCTGGGATCAAGCCCCGCATCGGGCTCTCTGCTCAGCAGGGAGCCTGCTTCCTCCTCTCTCTCTGCCTGCCTCTCTGCCTGCTTGTGATCTCTCTGTCAAATAAATAAAAAAAATCTTAAAAAAAAAAAAAAAAAAAAAAAAAAGAATTGCCCGGTGCCCAGGGAATGCTGAAGGAAAGTGAAACTGATGTGTTTATCCAGAGTCCCAGGGCAGATGAGTCCTGGGGAAGTCCAAACTTCATTCAGGAACCCACAGTCCATAGTCCAGAAAAACATGTAGGTTCTTGAGAAAGGCAACTTTCCTTCCTAGAACAACACCCCCCTCACGGATCCTAAAGCTTTTGGCAGATATACTTCTAGACCCTTTATGCTCATCCCAATCACTGTTTAAAACCTCACACCCTACCCCCATCCAGAGCAACTCCCTGTGACTCATCTGTCTCATAGCGATGGTGCTTCTTGTAGACTGTGTCCCATCTCCACAAACCAGCACCAAATACATCAGGCTTTCGGTTTGGTGTTTGTTATCTTATAGAACTGGATAAAAACTGAGTGTAGCTAAATGGTCCGTGTTTGATAGAAACACAGAGGGCAGAGGCAGCTGTAGGGAGAAGAGAATCCTCAGGAAAAGGGTTCTCATTCAGACACTTGACTGGGGTAAGCTCTCTGGGGGGACAGGCTGCCGCTGGGGGAGGGAAGAATTTCTAATAACATCAGGAGGAAGCTTAAAACAAGAGAAGGACCCAGGACATAGGGGAGCAACAGGTGAAATAGCGTCAGGCAAGCAAAGCTCCAAGGCTTGGCGATATTCACCAAGGGTGACTTCCAGGTGGAGAGAGAGCGGAGAGCGATCTCCTGCAAAACAAAACCAATCAAAAACAAAACATAAACCAGACTTACGTCCCCAGAACAAATCCCTCACTGAGAAAAACGTGCGTTTCTGCAGCTCCTCTCCCACCGTTCCGAGTACAAACTGAAGTGGGTCACAATTAGTCCTGGGCCCCTCAGGATGGCATTTCAGAAATGCACCTAGCAACAGGTGGCAAAGACTGACCACAGCAGCTGACCAAGGTCAAAGCGTTGAATCCGAGGCAACTGGAAGAAGAGAGGGGTACTCCCTGGGCCAGGGGCTGCGTGTGAAGGTGGACTCCTCAGGAATCCAGGAGTCTGGGCTCCTTGTAGTTCCGCACCCCGCCAGGGAGAAAGAGGAGGCCGCGAGCTAGTGACGCAGCGAGCCACACCCCTGCAGCTGGCTGCCGGGAACCCACTGAAAACTCGTGATCCAGCGCAAGAGGCGATTTGAATGCGCAGTGGGGCTTAGATAGAAAGAGAAAGCGATTTAATCTTTAAACTTTCAGTTCTAGATTTGCCGCGTCCAAGCATTAACGGAAGGGATCGCTGTCGGCCCCTCCAATACCTCTATATGAAAGGGATTAGGGGCTGTAATCCCCCTGGGTTTTAAACTTCATTTCCACATCATAAAATTAGATAAAAATGAGAAAACATTAATTTTCTACAAAAAAGAAAGAGACAAAAGTAAAATAAAAGAGAAGAAAAGTTAAAAAAATAAAAATAAAAAAAGACCTAGAGAGGATCAGGGATGCCTAAATCCCCTATCCAGCCCCCATAAAACTCCCCTAAACTGCCAAACCTGCAGAAAACCCCCAGAGACCTAACACCAGAACTCAATTTCCCACCCCCTGGGCTTGCAGTTAAAACAAGCCCCCCCAGATTTGGCGATGGGAAAAGAACGGGTCTCAGCCACCAGAGTGGAGGGCTGGGATCCAGCCCCAGCGAGAGCAGCCGCAGGTCACCTACCTTTTCCGGAAGTCTGAAGGCTCTGAGTCACAGGTAGCAGAAAACATCCGCAGACAAAATTCCTGGGAAGACCTGCCCCTTCTAGGGACCGGTTATAAAGTAGCGACTGCTTGATTAAGGGATCAAGGGAAAATTCTTCAACCCTATGACGTTTGCTTGTTTTCCTTTGCCTAGTCTCAGTGAGACTCAGTGAGGGAATCTTCAGAGGATAGGCAAAGGGAAGAGATTTTTTTTTTTTAAACCAGTGAAATGCTTGAACATCAACAATCACATCAGATCACATCATCTTTCTGTAACAGACTTAATTATCTAAGGGCTTACTGTGCACTGGGCCCTACTAATACTACTGTGTGATAGGTCCTGAACTTTATGGGCATTATATCATTGACTTCCTAACATCATGGGGGGAAGGGGTGACCAGAGGGGAGGAGGAGGAGACAGGGCAATGCTTACAGGGACCAAGTCTGCCAATCATGGGTGGTTTATGGGTTTTCATTGGGATCATAAATTAAGGTGTTTGGTTTGGGTTTGGGGTTTTTTTGTTTGTTTTTGTTTTTTGGATTTTTTGATGGTGGGGGTAACAATTTAAGTGAGAACATCTATGCTCATTTTCCGGCTAAAGGACACTAGAAGCGATCAAGTTTCTTATGTCTTCTCTATTTCAAAATGATGTTAAATCTGACACTTAAAGAATCATATTGCCATTGAGACTATGTATAGGTTAAAGAGAATATACGTATGAAAACTCAGGTTAATTTTGGTCTCTGCAACGTCATTCACATCTACTTTCTCTGAGTTTATCTTATTTGCAAAATGAAAATAATGGCATACCTACTTCCCTGGGTTGTTACTGAAGACCAAATGGCTCTTAATGGATGTGATATCTGTGTGTGTTTGTGTGTGCGTGTGTACACACACGTATAGTAAACCACAATATAAGCACAGATTCTATTTTATCATAATTAGGCTTTGGGACTATGTTCCTTACATGTACCAAACTAATTGTGAAAGGGAATGACCCTTTGCTTTCGGTAGCAATCACATCTGGTATTGTTCCTCCCGACTGTAAATTCTGTTGGCTGCAGTGTCTGGTCAACCACAGGGAGATGCTGGGAAAACGGACAGTTTATCATCTGACCCAGCTGAACTAGAGAAATCAAAACTAGACATCTGCCACAGACTCTACATGGCATCTGGGTTGGAAGGAACCGAATCAGGAAACATACCTATGATGCTGGTTATCAGAAGGACACTTATATGAAAGACCTCTGTACTTGGCACAATAGACATAATTCAACAGACCTTTATAGCCGTTAAAAATATGAATACATTTTATTTATCTGCTTATTCATACTTTCCATAAACACAGTGAATAATTTCACTCTTTGTATATAGACTACTAAATGAATCCACTGATCAGATATTAAAAAAGAATATGTTACTCATTCTTTTAGTCAACATAAAATTATTGGGCTTCTACTGTAGGCAAGGCATTGTTCTAAACACTGTCATTGCAGCGATAGCAAGACACAAAGACCCTTCCCTAGGTGAAGTTTACATTACAGGGGGAGGAAATATTCAATAAACAAATAAGCAAGTAAATAAAAAAGAAAATATCTGATATTATAAATGCTTAAGGAGAACAAAATTTGTAATATAATAGAGAATAAACACAACCTACTTTACATTAGGTGTCTTCATCCAAAAATCTGTCTTTGTGACTGCATGTTGCTAAGCATCCTCCAATATCAACTCTCAAGTTTACCCCAAGTTGAGCCAAGTCTATGGCCATTCAGAATAAGGACATTTCCCAGCCTCCCTTAAAACTAAGTGTGTGACCTTAGGACTAAGTTCTGGCTAATGGGAAATAAAAAATGACATGTGCAACATCACACCACACCCTTTTGAAGAAAAGATTATGACCTCCTCACTTTCCCCTCTTCCTATTCACTGATGGGAATGCAGATACATTCTGAGCCACTTTGGACTATGGAGACTAGGGTGAGAACCCCTATGAATAAGAGTCCACAAGACAGAAGGGTCCCAAGTCCCCGAGGCTTTCCTGGAGTAGAACCACTGTATTAACACAGATTTTGCAGGAGAAAGTAATGAATTTCTCTATGATTCATAACACTTATCTGGGCTCTGTGCCACATGCTCCTTATCCTCCCTATATCTGATTATGATCAATAAGAAGAGTAACCTTTTAAAGCCAACAACTTCTTTTGAATATGAAAAGCATATTGACAGAAAATGAGAGAGAGGTCTGTAATTATGAGAACAGTGTCTGATCCATTTCAGCACCTACCAAGACAACACATAGACTCTGTTTATGCCTGTGTGTGTTGATCATAGAATGCTGCTTATTTCCATCCAGTTCTTTCCACAGTCGTTTCCCTTCCTGAAAGAAGAGCTGTTTGTGTTACTGCATAGAAATACTTAACACAGGGCACTTGAGTGTCTTAGTTGATTAACTGTCTGGCTTGGGCTCAACTCATGATCTCAGGGTCCCGGGATGGAACCCCAAGTAGGTCTCCCTGCTGAGTGGGGAGTCTGCTTGTCCTTCTCCCTCTGCCCCTCCCCCTGCTAATGTGGTCTCTCTCTCTCAGATAAATAAATAAATAAATAAATAAAATCTTTTAAAAAAGAGAGAGAGATACTTAGTAAGGTCTGAACAAATTGTTCTGGTCATCCCCTTATTTCCTACTTCCTATCTATCTCTCTTATCATCATGGAGTTTCATATAAGTCTCCTGTTGTTCTTTTCTCTCCTCTAATGTTTCCTTGGTGATTCATCTAAGACTTCCTCTTGTTCTTATCATACTTAAGCCCTTTATGTGTTCTTAAAAGTTTTAATCCTTTATGTAAAGAAGTGCCTAAAATGCATAAAATTATTTGATTAATGAATAAATACATATAAATGCTGATGGTTGTATACTCTTAGGTCTTGTGATCGCTATCTATCATAGCTATTGTAAAATAGATTTCAAACAGACCAAATGGATAAATGCTCAGAAATGTACACAAGTCTTATAAGCATTGATTACCTGACCTACCAGTGATAACAATTGCAATTAATAGCCATCATTTTTATCTAACTTGCAAATTTTATGCTTGAAGAAATCACATGAAAACTGAACCCTAAAGGAACTTAATCATAAATGGGTAGATAAGCAATAAGGTGGGTTGGGGAAAAAAATACAGATCTAGCTACTTTATACTAAATTCTTATTAGAAACCAGTGTTAAGGGGCACCTGGGTGGCTCAGTGGGTTAAAGCCTCTGCCTTCAGCTCAGGTCATGATCCCAGGATCCTGGGATCGAGCCCCACATTGGACTCTGCTCAGCAGTGAGCCTGCTTCCCTCTCTCTCTCTGTCTGCCTCTCTGCCTACTTGTGATCTCTGTCTGTCAAATAAATAAATAAAATCTTAAAAAAAAAAAAAAGAAACCAGTGTTAAGTAATTTACACAGTAGGATGAACAGCTTTAATTTCACACAGGGTTAATGGCTGCCACCACAAAGCCACTTAGTTGCTCGTCAGAAACTCCTTAAAAGAGGCTGGCTATTGTTTAACAGTAGTAATTGTCATCGATGACAAGCAAATATACTTTGGACAAACAAGCACAAATAACTACAAAAGGAGATAGGCAGGTTGAAGCTCTTGGGTCTAAATCCCTGAGGATGAAAAGAAGGCATACCTTCCTCATCCAGAGGCTCAAAAATTGTGAGGAAAACTAGGAATCAGGTTCTGATGTTTTAATACCAACTTGGTTTTGCCATTGAATTCAGTCTGTGAGTCTAGGCTCAATTCCTACCTCTACTACTGAACAGTTGTGGAATCTTGAGGAAGCGACTTAACTTCTCTGGTGGGATCCATGACATCATTTGTGAAGCACACTAATAATACTTACCCTATACCTATGTTGGGAGAATTAAATAAAATGGGATTTTTTAAGTCATTTGTCACAAGTAGGCACTCTTCAAGTGTTAGTTCCACTTTCTCTTTCTTGGGGCTTTTTCCCCTTTCTTGGATTGGTCTGGTTAAATGCTGAGAGTCTGGAAGTCTTCTATCATTTAGGTTCTTTAGAGAACAGGCTATTATTATGAGAAGGATTCCTAAATTTCTTACATTTTTATTAACTCTAGAAATATTAGTTTGTTTTGTTTTTGTTACTCACCATGTCTCTCGCTGTAATTACTAGTAGTTAAAATAAGCAAAACTAAAAAAAAAAAAAAAGCAAAACAAACAAACAAAAAATTAAGCCCACAGACAAAGAAAACAAAACTTCATCCTAAGATTGGGTAGGGCAGGAGTAAGGGGGGAAAAAAGCAAAGTTTCTAATAATGAAGAGAAGTCCGCATTCCATCTATTTTCAATAAAAATCAGAGGAGCAAATAGTTTATGTCAGGAACTGTGTAAGCATTATTTCATTTACAATCACCGTGTGAAATACTGTTATAACTCTATTTT